AAGGAATCTGAAAAGGAGAGATCGCTGAGAAGAATACTGGTTAATTAAGAGCAATAACAATGGAGGGTTCCCTGCTGCAGCGCCTGTTGTGCTACGAAGACCAGATCCAAAACGGCAAGGAAAACGTGGCGCTCTCAGTTCCCGTTGAGCGTGTTTCGATTGTAAGTCCATCCCGGTTGGGTGTGTGACACAGGGTGTGTGACACAGGGTGTGTGACTTCCACACACACAGGGTGTGTGACTTCCACACACACAGGGTGTGTGACTTCCACACACACAGGGTGTGTGACTTCCACACACACAGGGTGTGTGACACACACACACACAGGGTGTGTGACACACACACACACAGGGTGTGTGACTTCCACACACAGGGTGTGTGACTTCCACACACAGGGTGTGTGACTTCCACACACAGAGTTTATGGTTGTAGTCGGTGATTGGATGTCCGAAGGAGACTTACAGGGGTGAGGCGCGTGTGGCGATGACTCCAGAGACGTCGGCGCAGTTCGTGAAGAACGGGTTTACGGTGAAGGTGGAGGAGGGTGCTGGAATGTTGGCGAACTACACGGACGCGATGTATAGCGAGGCGGGAGCGATAATTGTGAGTCGGGAGGAGGCATGGCGGTGTGAGTTAGTGTTGAAGGTGCGTGCGCCGGATGCGGTTGAGGTGGCATTGTTGAGTAGTGGTGGTATGTTGATATCGTTACTCTGGCCGGCACAGAATGTGGAGGTGGTGAAGATGTTGGTGGAGCGAGGTGTAACGGCTTTTGGGATGGATCAGATTCCACGGATTTCTCGTGCACAAGTGTTTGATGCGTTATCTTCAATGGCAAACATTGCAGGGTATAAAGCGGTGGTGGAAGCATCTCATCTCTTCGGTCGTTTCCTCGGAGGCCAGATGACGGCTGCTGGACGTATCCCACCGGCAAAAGTGCTGATTGTTGGCGCTGGTGTAGCAGGCTTGTCTGCGATAGCAACAGCCAAGAAGATGGGCGCGGTTGTTCGTTGCTTTGATACTCGTCCGGCTTGCAAGGAACAAGTCGAAAGCTTGGGAGGCGAATTTCTGGACCTCCCTGGATTCGAACTTGCCGAAGGCTCAGGAGGCTACGCCAAAGAGATGACTCCCGAATTTATCCAAGCGGAAATGCTATTGTTCAGAACACAGGCACAAGATGTCGACATCATCATCACCACGGCACTCATTCCAGGACGACCCGCACCCAAACTATTCACCGCCGACATGATCGCCCTCATGCGACCGGGAAGTGTCACTGTTGACCTCGCCGCAGAACAAGGAGGAAACATAGAGACCACCGTACAAGACGCATGCATCACCACTGCAAACGGAGTCACTTGCGTCGGCTACACCGACCTACCTTCGCGTCTACCCACTCAAGCTTCGCGTTTATACGCCCAAAATGTTGCAAAGTTCGTACTAGCACTCAAAGACAAGAACACCAAAGATCTGTTACTCAACTTCGGAGACCTCGTAGCACGCGCTAGCATCGTCACACACCGAGGAGAGAAACTCTGGCCCGCCCCTCGACATCTCTTCCCCGCGCCGCCCGCGCCGAGGGCGAAGCCCGCGGCCGCGGCCAGCGCGGCTCCGGAAGAGGAAAGGAAGAAGACGTTGGCGACTGCATTATCAGTTGCCTTCGGTTTGTGTTCGCTGATAAGTTTGAATGTGTTGTCACATGACGTGAACTTGTTGACGATGGTGGTTGTGTTCGCATTGGCGGGGACAGCGGGTTATCAGGCCGTGTGGGGTGTGACACCGGCGTTGCACACGCCGTTGATGTCTGTGACGAATGCGATATCGGGAGTGACAGCGTTGGGTGGGATGGTGTTGTTGGCTACTGCGCGTGAGTCGTTTGCATTGTCCCTGGGCGCGTTGGCTACGGGTGCGTCGTTTGTGAACATCATCGGAGGGTTTACAGTGACTGCGCGGATGTTGGACATGTTCCGGAGGCCAGGCGACCCGGAGGAACATAATTACTTGTATGGCATCCCGGCTGCGGCTGCGGGTGTGGTGTACGTGATTGCAGACGGCGTATTGGGCGTGGACATTTCGGAGTTGACGTATTTGGCCGCTTCGCTCTGCTGCGTGGTTGCCATTGGCGCTCTGAGCAAACAGACCACCGCGCGGTTCGGCAACGCCATGGGCGTGGTCGGAGTTTTCCTAGGCGTGCTCTGCACGCTGGGCCTCACACTTGACAAGAGTTCCTTCCGCGCCCGTTTGCTAGCGGGTGCACTCGTGTGTGCCGGTGCAGTCGGCGGCCTCTGGGTCGGAAACCGCGTAGGCGTAACTGAACTGCCGCAGACTGTGGCTGGCTTCCACTCGCTCGTGGGTCTGGCAGCAATGTTAACTTCCTTAGGACACTTCGTTGTGCACCCATACTCAGACACGGAGTACTCTAGCACCGCCGGCGCTGCTGCAGCGGCTGGCACCTTCATAGGCGCAGTGACGCTCACTGGCTCGCTGGTCGCCTTCGCCAAGCTGCATGGCCTTGTTAAGTCGAAGCCGCTCTCGCTTCCTGGCAAGAACAAGTTGAACCTAACGCTCCTTGTCGTTCAGGCTGCTCTCTTCGTATTCTTCATCCAGGGCGGGAACGGTGGCTCTGTCGCCGTTCTGGCGGACGCCACAGGGCTTCAGCTACTGCTTGCTACGGCCGCACTCGCGCTCTTCCTCGGATGGCACTCTGTCGCATCCATCGGTGGCGGTGACATGCCCGTCTGCATTACCGTACTCAACTCCTACTCGGGCTGGGCACTGGTGGCTGAGGGATTCATGTTGGATAACCTGATGTTGACCATAGTGGGTTCGCTCATCGGTTTCAGCGGCGGCATTCTGTCGTACATAATGTGTGTGGCCATGAATCGTTCTCTTGCGAATGTACTGTTCGGCGGGTACGCGACGGCTGCGCCGAGCCCGGCTCGATCTCGCGACCAGCAGATCCGGAGTCATCGCGAAGCCACTGTCGAAGAGGTTGTTGAGGCTCTGGCACAGGCGCAGCGCGTGATCGTTGTGCCGGGTTATGGCATGGCCGTTGCGCGTGCTCAGTACGCCGTTGCTGAACTGGCGCAGGTACTGCGAGCCAAAAAGGTGAATGTGCGCTTCGGTATTCATCCCGTTGCAGGCCGCATGCCCGGCCAGATGAACGTACTCCTGGCAGAAGCTGGAGTCCCCTATGACTGGGTCGAGGAAATGGAAGAGATCAACGACGACTTTGCTGCAACTGATGTAGCACTCGTCGTCGGGGCTAACGACATTACCAACTCCGCTGCCGAAGAAGATCCCCAATGTGCCATAGCAGGCATGCCCGTCCTACAAGTATGGAAAGCTAAAACGTGCGTATACCTAAAACGGTCCATGGGCGCAGGATACGCCGACCTAGACAATCCGGTCTTCTTCAAAGAAAATACTCTCATGCTACTCGGAGACGCCAAAAAAACCACTGATCAGCTCGCAGCTAAACTGAACACCTACTTCCAAGTCTAACCCTGAGCAACTTCAGCAACATCAACCATCAACTATTCCTCCATCAACTGTTAGATAGATTGTTCCATGCTCGCTGTATTTTAAACAATGATTCTATTTACATTATTTATACGAATTCTCTGCTAAGGAAATCCCCCCCCCGAATCACCCCCCCCGTTCCACCCCGAAAAACCAAAAAACAACCACCTACACGCCGAGTCTTATGACTCGTCGTAGCCTACTCCGCTTATGACTCGTAGCCTACTCCGCTTATGACTCGTAGCCTACTCCGCTTATGACTCGTAGCCTTCTCCCCTGGTGTTAGTTAGCATCGCTGTCATAACCAACCAGTCGTTGTCGAAAAAAAAAGCCAGTCAGTCAACACTGCCAGTGTTTACACAAGTGTTGGTAGAACTCCATACGTTTATCTATGCACATATGGTTCAAACTGCAGTACGTGTAGGGCACGCTAATAGCATCTTGAACTTCTGCGAAGGTTGCGTTGACGTCATCACCATATTTGAAACATCTGCGAACTGTTCTCCGTGGCTCACCCTCCGGTAATCCAAAACGCACCTCCACTCGCCCGTCTTCTTCTTCACGAAGTGCGGCGCGGCGGCCCACTCGAGGGACGGATGACTCCAAGCTTCAGCTGCTTCTCCACCTGCTTCTCCAACTCGGCCCGCAACTCAGGCTCGAGATGCCTCAACCTCGCTTTGTACGGCTTGCCGCTCGCCTCGAAACGCGCCTCGTACTTGACGCACGCCACCTTTGGGTTCTCCCACACGTCTCTGTATGCGACCAACAGATTCCACAGCTCGTCCCTCAGGCTCTGGTCCAGGTGTCCCGTGCCCTCCACGAATACCTGCCGCTGCGTCTCGAAGGGATCCTCCGACTGCTCCTCTAACACTGGTGGCTGCTCTTTGTACTTCTCCGCAAGCCGTATCTCATCAACGGCGCCTCTCTGCGCCGCCAGGACCAACGCCTTCCCGGACCTTCTCTCAATCAAACCAAACCGCTCCAATTCTACCCTCCCAAGGAGGTTCGGGACCCACGGTTGGTCATGCACCGCGAACTCTACTTCGTCCGTCTCGCCGTGCACAGTTACCGGTACCAGGTCCGTCACGGGTAGTGACCCTGAACCCAGCACTGTGCTTACTTGCTGTCGGCGCTGCGACACTCTTACGCCAGCGCGACTGCAATCCTCTCTCCTCAGCAGGCTTACCTCTGCGCCTGTATCTTGCTGGAACTCAATCTCGACCCCCTTCACGAGGGCCCTTACCGAAAATTTCGGCCGTTACCCGACTCTCCGGTCACGGTTCCCGCGACTCGTGACTCCAGCGTCGTGTCCTCTGTCGGCTCATTCCGACGTTCCGCGCCCCCTGGGCCGTCACTCTGCACTACCTTCTCGACTGCGGCCACTGGCATGCCGACGTCCTCTCCTGGCGCTGGCTGGCCGTTCTTTTTCTTGTCGGAGCCCAGGTCCTTGTTTACGAACTTTTGCACCGCCTTCAGGTAGTCGGTCCTGGTTCTAGCTCCACGGACATCGCTTTGCCTTCTCCGGCCTCCACGAACGCCTTCAGCCCAGCTATTAGCGTTTCGTCGTGGTACTGCTCGCCGACAGCCGTCGCGACGTCATCCGCCCACTGCTCAAACTCCTCTTCTGTGACGGCGGTGGGAGGCGGCACTTCGCTAGTTTATTCTCCCAGGCTTGCTGCTCGCGCGAGTTAAGCTCGCGCACCGACTCTGGAAAGCGCCCTATATACGCATAGCCTAGATACACGCTCCTCTCGCTTACCCAGTTTAGTGCCCAGTCAATTGTGGAAGCCGTTGTCATAACCAACCAGTCGTTGTCGAAAAAAAAAGCCAGTCAGTCAACACTGCCAGTGTTTACACAAGTGTTGGTAGAACTCCATACGTTTATCTATGCACATATGGTTCAAACTGCAGTACGTGTAGGGCACGCTAATAGCATCTTGAACTTCTTCAAATGTTGCACCAACATCATCACCATATTTAAAACATCTGCGAACTGTTCTCCGTGGCTCCCAGACATCACATATGAAGGCACCCCCTTCAGGTCTGGCACACGTCTCAGGGAAATTCATAGGCTCCGCACTATGTGACAACATCTCGGTGTAACATGTGCTCACGTCTCTTTCCACGTTGATTGCTACCATCTTGGACGGAGGTATAGGGCAGTCGCCGTCCAAGTAGCAAGCCTTAAGTCTGTAGTCATCAAGGCCAGGGAGATGTATTAGTCTGAGCCAGTCATGATACCAAGGCGGCAAGCATCCTAGCTCACGTTGTCGTTCCGACGTCACGCACAAACGGTGGCCCTCGACACATGTGACGCCGCCCTCGGGGGTCGAATTGGCGATTCCATCAGCACAGGGGACGATCTTGGTCCACCCAGCGGTTAGACATTTGCCCCTCACGCGGCAAACGTCGTAATTCGGGCTCCTATCTATCTCACTCAACTTATCAAAACTGAGTCGGGACTTCAGCGGCAAACACCCTCTCTTAGGCATTAATCTCGACGTCAGGCAATACGGGACATCCTCTACACACAACGCCCTTTCCGGGTGGGTCACATTGCCACAGGGCAAGATCGCGTGCGGCTCCCGCGTTGTAAGTGCCGCCCTGCTCGTCGTCGCCGCCCTGCTCGTCGTCGCCGCCCTGCTCGTCGTCGACCACGCGGCTGATTTCGGCTCCGCCGTAGTCGTCAGGTTCGCGGGCGGGCTGTTCGTCTCCAGCTTTGAGTCAGCGACTTCACATCTGCCGCTCGCGCGACAAACGTCCAAATACGATGGTATGCGATCCAACTTACTAAGCTCCAGAGGGACAGTGTAGTTAAACTGCTGACAGACCTTCTGAGGGTCAACTTTCATCATCAGGCATAATGGGACCCCTTCGGCACATGTTGCCTTATCCAAACGGGTTGAATTGACACAGGGTAAGATCTTCGCGTAATTCTCCAAGTCCTTGGATTCATTGTCCGAGGGCGCACCACCGACGCCGGGAGGAAAGAAGTTAAAGTAGCACCCCGCCAGCGCAAACAGCGCACCGCCTGCAACCGCCACTTTCGTTTGCAGTGGGTACTGGTTGAAAGCATCGCGTGCAACCTCGAGGCAGTCTGTCCACGAGTTGACCGCCGACCTTTTCATCCCCTCCCTCCAGTCTTGTTGGACTTTCGGCAAGAGACGCGGCAGCTCTTTCCGCTTTAGCTTTCTCGTAAACACTTGTAGCTCATCGGCGCCAATATCCTCATTAACGCCCATATGCCCATCGTCGCCCGTGTCCTCAGTCTCAGATTGACACCTACCAAAAGCATCTAGCCATACCTTATGTCTGATTTCAGTCCCCACGGCCTTCTCACCCAGGAACTCCTTTAGGCTGTTGCGCACGACGGACTGGGTGTACGGAGTGGTTTGCCCAGAGACAGTGAAAACCTTGAGTCTGCTTACGCTTTTGAACACGAGCTTGTATTGGTCCAGGCCTGACACGCCTTCTGACACGTGTCCAGCGTTGAGCTTGGCATCGAGCTCCTGGAGTTCGACCTCCGACCCTAATGCTACGGCGTGCACTTGGTCCTCGCCCTTCACAACAAAGGTCAAGAACCTAGCGCTCGTCTGGTCGTCAAGCTCTGACTGAATCCCCTCGCTGGTTACTAATGCCGCCAACAACTCCGCTCCCCCCACTGACTGCACAGCTACAGATGTCCTCATCCTCCAAAAAAAAGAGCTGTGATACAAACTTTTGGCCGGACGCGACAAAACGCCAGTTCGTTCACTGTTTTCCGACTCATCCATCAAGACAGTCTTCTGGTAGTTCTTCCAACCCCAAAAAATTCATTACGGCACCCCTCGGGTGTTCCCATTTTTGACTCAGTCAAAAGGGGGCATTTTTTTGACCCGGTTTATACATTAAAGAAAGACTACATTAAAGACAAGATGTTGAGCTTAGTTGCGAGTAGTTATGACATTCGGAGAGCAGCGATGCTGTGTTACGTATTTCGTTTTGAGACGGTTGAAGAGTGTGGTGATAAATTACCAGCAGTGGTCTTGACAGATTGTGCGGAGGATGATGTTTATACATTCAGTATTTGTGTTGATCTGAATGAGTCTGAGGTTTGGTTAGAATCAGGTTATGATGTGGCGGCATGTGGGAAAGTTTCACCGTCGGCAGCAAAGACTTTTTTAGAATTAGGTGCGATAGCGGATCCATTGAAGGATGTGATTTTACGTTACAAGGTTCATCGTGAAGAGGTTCCTGATGAGTGGCTGCTTGAGGATGATGGACATCCTGAATTGACTGATATGGCTTGGGTCACTAAGCACGGTTGTTGGTTCCAAGTTAGCAGTCCCGTCTTGGATGATTATGAAGACTTGGATGAGGAACGAGAATTTGAAAGCGTTAAGTTCAACTCCCTAATACGCAAACTAGTTGAAACTAACACCCACGCTCTTGGATTGGAATTACACCAAGTAGACCATGTTCTAGTCATCGAAGTTGTAAAAGAATGTTTGGGACGTTACTTACATATCCCCCCCGTCCAACGATGGATCCGAAGATTTGAAGACGACCTTTATTCAGAAACACTTCGCGAACACATGTATATAAAGGCACAAGACGTTACTAATCGAGTCTTCGAACTCTTTGACGCTATCAAACCGGCACAATTAAACGGAGATGCTATCCGCTCTTCCGAAGTCCGCTCTTCCGAAGTCCGCTCTTCCGAAGTCCGGTCCATCGAGAATTCAAGATACCAAAATGAGTCCGTTCAAAATGAAGACAGGTGGGGTCCGAGATACCAAGATGCAACTGAGCGGAGCGAAGAGAATTCAAGATTCCGAGATCGAGATGAATGCAGCGAGAACTTCGAACCTCGAGATGCACTTGTCCAACGACCAGACTCGTTCGATTACACCTCTGACGCAACATACGATGCTGAAATCACTGCAGCAGGAGAAATCACTGCAGCAGGAGAAATCACTGCAGCAGGAGAAATCACTGTTTCCATTTTCCTAGAAGGACCTGATCCTTACGTGCATATTGAAACCGAAAAAGACACACGAGTGAGAACAAGAACAAGAACCGCTAGATTGATTCGAAATCAAACACCATCCAGTCCAGTAGACGAAAGACGAATCCAAATATTTACGGAACCTCCATCAAATCATGCAGGAAGACCCACCATCGCAAGAAGAAGGGCCGTGGTCAGAAGAGTCACAACCGAAAGGCGAATCGAGTACGACGACGGGGCCAGAGGCCAATGACAACGAGATCGGGAATGAATGCGGAGACGAGTGGCAATGGTAGCCGGACACACGTGTGTGGGACACACGTGTGTGTAGACCGGACACACGTGTGTGTAGACCGGACACACGTGTGTGTAGACCGGAGACACGTGTGTGTAGACCGAACACACGTGTGTGTAGACCGGAGACACGTGTGTGTAGACCGGAGACACGTGTGCGTAGACCGAGGTTTATGCACTGGAACTGAAACAGCATTTTTTTTGTGCAACGGAGAAAATTCCGATCACTTTTTTTTGGCCATTTTTGACTACCGTTAATTAAGGACGCGTAGGTCTGCTGGTTTGCATCGAGAGAATAGAATTGTGTTGAGGCACTTGATCAAGAAGTATCCATCATTGAGTTAAGGAATTGCATTGAAGAATTGAGTTAAGGAATTGCATTGAAGAATTGGATTTAAGAATTGAGTTAAGGAATTGAGTAATGTTTGGTCCAATAGCGAGAAGAGAAGAATCGGGAGGGATAGCTGCGGCAGCTTTGGGTTACGTTTTTCGTTTCGAGACACCGGCGGAGACGGCGACTCGAACCGGCGATGTGGTGGATGGAGGTGTGGTACGTTTGGAATGTGAGGATGATGTATATATGTTCGAAGTGAGTGTGTGGACTAATGATCTGTCTGCTGATGGTCCGGTGCCTGCGTTGACTCCGAATATTGGGGATGAAATGGGGGTTGATCCGTTTCAAGAGGTTGTATTACGGTACATGGTACCGAAAGCGGCAGTGTCAGAAGACTGGTTAGAGGCGGACGAGGGACCACATTTGAGTGACATGACATGGATCGCTGAGCATGGCTGCTGGTTTCAACTCGAAAGCGAGGCATTAGGGGCTAGTCAGGCACTCGCCACAGAAGATGATGCACTAGGAGCTGAGGGATTCAACACGCAAGACGGCGAACACACACCCCGTGGAGAAGCACCCCGTGGAGAAACACCCCGTGGAGAAACACCCCGTGGAGAAACACCCCGTGGAGAAACACCCCGTGGAGAAACACCCCGGGGACTTGGTTTCGAAAGCGTGAAATTAAAAGCACTCTTAAAGATGTTTATCGCCACTAGCGCTCGAGCATTAGGACTCAAGACGCACGAGATAGACGTCGACCTTGTCATGGAGGTTGCCCGTGAATTTCTGGGTCTCTACCTCCACTTACCTGCTGTGCAGAACTGGCTCCAAAGCTTCGAGGCAGATCTTCGTGCCGACATTATGCGGGAAGAGATTTACGGAAGCATTGGACTTGAGGGATATGCACCTGAGGGATATGGACCTGAGGGATATGGACCTGAGGGACATGTTCGCGAGAAGCATGTTCGAGAAGCACACGTGCGCGAAGCACACGTTCGAGAAGCACACGTGCGCGAAGCACACGTTCATGAACACGTTCGTGAGGAACAGTGGACGCAGGAGGAACGGTGGGAGGCGGCCTCGGCACTCTGGTCGCGAGGCGGAGAAACATCGCCTCGGGTGGCTATACCGTTCGATGGCATTTCCATTAACGGGAATAATGGCGCAGTCAGTGTAGCTGTGTTTTTACCCGGTACGGTGGGACAACACGTTGAGGTTCAGACCCAGTCTGTGACCTCGGCTAGTGGACCGGATGGCTACGACGGAAAAGGAACGTCGAGAGCTATCACAGAGCGACGCATCGAGATCGAGATTGGCGCAGGAAACGGTAGACGCATCGGCACACCGCCGGGAACTGCAGGAACCCGATCTCGAAACTCGTCCGGAGCATTGACCCCTCAAATGAGACAAGCGATTGGGGGTCCAATGGAGATTGAAGTTGCTCACGGCAATAATTACGGAATCGCACATGGAGCAATGGAACATGGAGCAGTGCAACATGGAGCAGTGGTTGAAACCGCTACGGTAACCGAACGAGAACTCAAGATCGAGATCGAAGCGGGTGATGGGCGGCGAGTTGGCAAGTCTTCAAGAAGTGGATGGACCGCAAGATCGACGATTGGAAGATCGACGATTGGAAGATCGACCACGGAAAGATCAATCGACGTCGAGGTCGGCACAGGAAGCGTCGGGGTGACGACTGGAGCAATACGACGTACTCAGTCAGAGAGATTAACTCAGCGGCACGTTCAACAAACTGAGACCCTAGTTGAACAACTTACAGAAACGATGGTTGAATCTTTGGGTGATCCGGTGGCGGAGAGGATGGGAAGAACTAAGGGAGGTAAACAAGTACGACGAACTCAATCTGAAAGGCAAACGCCATACACGAGAAAATCGGGAGTTGAGATGAACCGAGGAAACCAACATGTGCGACAAACGGAAACGGTGGTAGAGGAGCTAACCGAAACATTAATAGAGTCACTGGGTGAAGCCTCAATGGTGACTGAACCACCAAGTAGAATGGGAGGTAGAATGGGAGGTAGAATGGGAGGCCAGACGGAAGTGGGTAAAGTAACACGATCTCATTCAGAAAGACAACGAAATGATATGCGAAGGGCAGCGGGGGATCGGCAAACTGAAGCTATGATTGAGGACCTGAATAACACATTGGCTGCATCGCTAAGTGACGCACGAAGTCAGACTGACGCACGAAGTCAGACTGACGCACGAAGTCAGACTGACGCACGAAGTCAGACTGACCCACGAAGTCAGACTGACCCACGAAGTCAGGACCACACAAAGCTGTCTGAAGCGGAGGCAAGAAAGCGAGCGGAGATGCGAGGGGCAGAGGCGGACAAGGAAACTGAAGCTATGATTGAGGACCTAAGTGAAGCTGTGATTGCATCTCTTAAAGGAAGGTCTGGAAAAGACTTAGAA